TTTTAATTTTATAATATTATTATTAATTAAAAATGATAAAACCTGATTTTTTATTAAATAAAACTAAAATTTGATTTTCAGAAACTTACTATGTAGTTATCCCTTAAACGGGCCACTTTATCCTAGCTTTTTAAGTGGATATGCGAGTTTTTTATAAATAGTACTATGATTCATTCGTTGCCATACAAGTACACTGTACACCCCTTTATCCCAGTTGTCTAAGTGGAGATTTTATGTATGTTTTGGGTAAATAGCATTTTATACGTCCATAAAAGTCTAGTAGGCCCCTTTATCTCAACTATTATTTAAGGCTTTGTGCTCAGCCATTATTCTGATGTGGACTTGCAATTCCTGAGCATATATGTTAGGTTTTTAGTTGTATTGACAATTTTTCAGATAAAAAGACTATCATAAAAGAATAGAATCGATTTAAAATTGAAGGAGTTTTTTGGAAGGTTGTCTAGATGAATTATGAGTATTAGGACTTGAATATGGAACGAAGAAAAAGAGTCGCCGGATTTACCTTAGCGTGTCGCCTAACTGATAATTAAGCATCCAAAGCATAATCATTATCGTTCGGTTCTCGCTCAAGCGACACACTTCTCGCTCATCTGTCGCTAGCCTGGCGCTCGAACAACAATATTTTTCGAGAAACTCTAATTTGTGTTTTTTAAGAGTTTTATCTATCATATACTACCTAAACTCCTCCTATTATAAATACGCAATGGTCATTACGTTTTTTGGGGATGATTGATCATTGTTTTACGTCCGTACATCATTATTCCAAGATCCAAGAACACATCAATCAACCATAAGTTTGGGAAAAATTTCAAATTTATACAATCTAAAACACCGACTTCCTATATATTATCAGGAAGGTACTTTCTCAATAACTTTCAGAGGTTGCTGAATATTAAGGGAGGTTGGACCAGAAACACAGGAAGAGTATAAGAATGAGGCGTTTTTGGTGTTCCACAAGAGATGACAATTCCAGAAGACTGGAAGCAGGTGTGAGTAAAACGCGTTCCAACAGGTCTTAGAGATTGCAGGAATTAGATCTGGGAGTCTAGTGGATTTTTAGGCTGGATTATATTGTAAGTTCTTATTATTTGTAGTGGAAACTATTGGTTTGATCTCAAAATTTATACCTAATTAAAAGAGTTTTCTCAGTCATCAAATCTTCTATTATTTATTTCTCTAATTATTATTGTGATAATTCAACATGGGATAACTTGACTTAATTGATTAAATATCTAAAACAATTAAAAAGTAACTTATTGCTTTTAATTGATAAATTTAATTTCCGTTATTTACCTATTATGTGATTTTAGGGTTTAACTAGTAACCTTCAAGGGGTATCAGAACCCAAATTTGATTCATAACCCTAGTTTTCTAGTTGAGTAGTTCATTGTCTGCCCCTGTATATTTTTATGGCAGTAAATATGTCTACTGGAAAGTTAGAATGAGAACCATCCTGAAATTAATGGATGAGCGTATTTGGTTGAGCGTAGTGAATGATTGGACTACCCCATCTATTATAGTTGCAGGTGTAGTTATCGTAACTGATATTTCAACTTGGTATAAGAAAGATTTAGATGAGTGTGATTGGAATAGTAAAGGGCTCTATGTTCTATTTATGGTTGTATCACCTGAAGAATTTAGGCGTGTGTCTATGTGTGAGGTTGCTAAAAAGGTTTGAGATATTTTACAGACCACACATGATGGAACTCAATAAAGTGAAACAAGAGGACTTTTGAATGTAAAGGCTCACACACTTTCATTTACATAACAGGTAAATATATACATGCTGTGAGGCTTAAGTTTAGCCTGAAATAAAGCTACTGCCTAATTAAATATATTAAGATGATTTACAGTTAAGAATGAGATCTTCCAGAATCACATTTGGGCACTTGATTTGCTCTGATTGATTGCTGAATTTTGGGAAGATTTGCAGCTGTCCTTATATGCCCCCGCAAGATGGAGGTGCCATCTGTAACTCCAATCTTGGAGCGTAAATTCTGAAGTCGTTCTCGAGATAATGGCTTTGTTAGAAGGTCAGCAAGTTGGTCTAATGTGTGAACGTGACTGACATTAATTCGACCCTTTTTGACAAGATCACGGACAAATAGAAGATCAATTTCAATGTGCTTCATCCGTGTATGTTGAACCGGGTTTAAGCTGAATTGAGTGGCACCTATGTTGTCACAGAAGACTTGAGGCGGCTGCGTGAGTTTTATGCCAAGTTCAGTGAGGAGTGAGTGGAGCCACACAGTTTCAGATGTTGCAGCTGCTAATGCACGAAATTCAGCTTCTGTGGAAGATCTGGAGACAGCCTTTTGTTTGCGCGAGGACCATGATATTGGGTTTGATCCGAGAAAAGTAATGAATGCAGTTGTGGAGACTCTCGTATCAGTATTGGCAGCCCAATCCGCATCAACATATGTGACCAGCTTTAAGGGATTGTTCTTCTGAATCAAGATGCCATGAAACATAGTGTTCTTTAGATATCGTAGGAGTCTTTTGGCAGCATTCCAATGAGAGGCTGTTGGTTTGTGCATGAATTGAGATAGCTTGTTTACTGGAAAAGCAATATCTGGTCTTGTTAGGCATAGATATTGCATTGCTCCAATTATTTTTCTGTATTCTGTGCTATCTGTATATTCGGAGCCATCATTTAGCTCAAGGTGCTTGTTTGTTGACATAGGTGTTTGTATCTCTTTTGCCCCATCCATTTGTGTCTTGTTGAGAAGATCTCTGATATATTTGTGTTGTGAAAGGAATACACCTTTTGCTGTAGGAACAACTTCAACGCCTAGGAAAAAATGGAGATTTCCCATGTCTTTGACTGAGAAAGTGTTGCTAAGTTTGTCAATGACACTTGTGACAAAAGTCGAGATATTCCCTGTTAGAATAATATCATCAACGTACACAAGGCAATAACATAAGACATTGTTAGAGGCATATATAAATAGAGATGTGTCTGTAGCTGAGTGCACAAAGCCAAAGCTAAGTAGAGCATCTCGAAGGGCCTGGTACCATTGTCGAGGAGCTTGTTTCAAGCCATAGATGCTCTTTTTAAGTTTACAAACATAGTTTGGCTTTGATTGATCTTGAAAGCCTGGGGGTTGATGCATAAACACCGTTTCATCAAGGTTTCCATGGAGGAATGCATTGTTTATGTCAAGTTGCCGAAGTGACCAGCCATTCATCACTGCAATTGAGAGTATTAGTCGAATTGTAGCTGGTTTTACAACCGGACTGAAGGTCTGTGAGTAATCAATGCCTGGCCTTTGATGGAAGCCTTTAGCTACTAGGCGTGCTTTGTACCTACTGATGGTGCCATCTGAATTTCTTTTGATGCGAAACACAAACTTGCAGCCTACAAGATTTTGCCCAGAAGCAGGTGGGACAAGTTCCCAAGTGCCATGATTAAGCAATGCTGTGATTTCTTCAGACATTGCTGTGCGCCAAAGTGGATCTTTTAGTGCTTGACTAACACATGTTGGTTCATTTGACTCAGGTAATGGATGTTTGATGGTTGTATGGAATTGTTTTGGACGAAAGATGTTGTTTTTGGACCTGGTAGTCATGCTATGTGTCCTTTGAGAAACAACAGGAGGTGGAGAATTTACCTGAGGAGATGATTGGGCTGCTGCGTTGTCTGGAGGCAGAGGATCAAGAGAAATCTCTGCTTGAGGCTGCGTAAGACATGGCGCTGGAGAGGAGTGGTCTTCTGGTAGTGCAAGTTGCAGCAATGGTCCAGAGAGGCATGGAGAGGATTTGATTACTTTTGACTCTTGTGTTACCTGTTTTTGAGACTCAGGATATATATTCTCTTCAAAAGTTACATGTCGCGAGACATATAGATGCTGAGTTGGTGTATGAAAACATAGATAAGCACTTTGTGTAGTCGAGTAACCGAGAAACATGCATGGAACAGATTTTGGTTCAAGTTTGTTCTTGTTGTAAGGCGTAAGCCATGGGAAACATAGGCATCCAAAGGATCTTAGTTTTAGATAGTTTGGAGCTTCTTTGAACAGACTTTGATAGGGAGATTTATGATTGAGAATGGGGGATAGCAACCTATTGATTAGATATGTTGCTGTAGCAAAAGCATATGACCAGAATTTTGGAGAAAGACTTGCTTGGCTGAGAAGAGTTTTTCCTGTTTCAACTATGTGTCTGTGACGTCGCTCAGAGACTCCATTTTGTTGAGGAGTGTGTGGCGCAGTTGTGTAATGGCTGATGCCATGGAGTGTGAGAAAAGATTGAAGTGCAATGAATTCTCCTCCATTATCAGAGTATGAGCTCTTGATTTTGGCATTGAAACGATTTTCAATCATTTTGTGGAATTGAGGAAAGATTGTTCTCACATCTGATTTATTTTTTAAAGGAAAGAACCAGGTATACTTGGTGAAATGATCAATGAAGATCACATAATATCTATGACCTTGTATGCTGAGTTGTGGAGAGGGACCCCACACATCTGTGTATATTAAATCAAAGGGAGTCGAGCTTGTGAGACCATGTTTATGAAAAGGCAATCTATGAGATTTATTGATAGAACATGAATTACAAGCATTTGAAATAGACAAACTTCTGGAAACAGGAAGTGAAAAAGATTTTATTATTCTGGAAACTACTTTAGAGGAAGGGTGGCCAAGTCTTTGGTGCCAGCCATTGATTGAGGTGCGTTCATGAACCATGGCAATGGGTTTGATGCTACTGACTTCAGGGAAGGGATAGACGCCATTCTCACATTTGCCTTAAAGAAGAGTCTCCCTCGTCCTCTGATCCTTGACAAAAAAAACAGTGGGGTGAAACTCAAGAAATACATTATTGTGTTTTGTAAAATGATGAACCGAGATCAAATTTTTGTTGATATTCGGAACACAGAGGGTATCTTGAATTTTGAAATTTCGGTTAGGAAAAGGCAGAGTGAGAGAACCTGAATGGGTGATTTTCAAACCTGAGCCATCACCAATAAGCACCTCATCTGTTCCATCATATTCTGAGTGGAGTTGTAGATTTGACACTTGAGAGGTTATGTTGTGTGAGGCTGCAGAATCGATTAGCCATCGCTGGTCTGGACTGGAATGAGTAGTTGTACAATGTGCTGCCTTCTGAGGTTGTATTTGTGGACAATATTTGGCAATATGTCCAAGTTGTTCACAGTATTGGCACTTTGGCGTGTATTGTTGTTGCTTGTAGTTGCGAGGCTTGGACTTTGAATCATTTTTCTGCATTGATGGTGGCTGTTTTCTGTAAGGCTTGAAGTCCTTGCGCTGAGTGTTATTTGCCGTGATTACCATGGACTGATTTGTGCTGTGTAGTCTATTGAGATAGGACTCATGTCCTATGAGAAGATCATGAAGTTCCTCAAATGATAAAGAAGATTCTCGAGCACGAATTGGTGCTACCATTTCTTTGTACTCATGGCCTAAACCATTGAGAACATATAAGGTGATGTCATCAGCGGAGAGAGGAGCATCAATGAGCGCCAATTCATCTGCAATGACCTTGACAGAATGTAGGAATTCTGTTACAGTGCGTGTACCGCGCTGAATAAGGGTAAGGTCCTCCTTAAGTTGCATGACTCATGATCTGGAACGACTGGCATATAGCTTGCTCAGTTTGCTCCAGGCTTGAGAGGATTTTTTGAGGCTGCTACGAATGGGATCACAGCATCTGTCACCGAGGTGAGAATGGCATTCAGGATTAGTTTATCCTGTCTGAACCATTGAGTGAAGGCAGCGCTCGCTGCTTCATCAGGATTTGTGGTTGAAGGTCGTGGTGGACATGCTATTGTTCCATCAACATAGCCATATAAATTATAGCCAAGAAGAAGAGATTCAAATTGTGCATGCCACGAGGGATAATTTGTGGGTGTGAGTTTTGTGGTGATTTGTTGAGTGGCGTTGATGGCCATGGGAGAGGGTGCAGAGCTTGCCATTTGCGGAAGGTGGAAGAAGGATCAGAATTTACTCGTTTGAGATAGAGAGCTCTGATACCATAAAGTGAAACAAGAGGACTTTTGAATGTAAAGGCTCACACACTTTCATTTACATAACAGGTAAATATATACATGCTGTGAGGCTTGAGTTTAGCCTGAAATAAAGCTAGCTACTGCCTAATTAAATATATTAAGATGATTTACAGTTAAGAATGAGATCTTCCAGAATCACATTTGGGCACTTGATTTGCTCTGATTGATTGCTGAATTTTGGGAAGATTTGCAGCTGTCCTTATAGTACTTTTGCCTGTGATTCTACAGTGTCAGGTTTTACCAAACGATGAATTTGTTGTTTTATCTGTAAAAATACCTGATTGTTGACTACCGTGTTTGCCCTCATTGCAGTCTGGAAAGGCATGCCTTGGCATCGAACTCTACACAATATTGACCGTAGAATCAATTTCAGGAGAGGAAATAATGAGTTGCCTTAATCTGAAATGTGAACATGAAGCTCTTGAAGTCATTAACAGATTGGAAACTGCAATGCTTGCGTGGAAAGAGAAAATCACGGAGCAAGAAAGTGGTAAATCTCCTGTTCGAACATCTTGGTCTTTCGTGAAAGATCCAAATTCGGAGCTGGATAAGGCAGAGTCGTTGGTGAACCGAGCAGAAATACTTCTGCAGCTGCTAAAGACCAAGTATGCCAATCTTCCTCAGAGCTTCCTTGATGTTACGAAAGTTCAAAACGGAAAGGTAAGTTGTTCGTTACTGCTATGCGCTACTTGACATTGATTATGACTAGCCAAATTAGTGTTTGGATTAAGCCCAAATCCCAGTTACAAGAGCAACATTACATTAAATGGAAAAAATAAATATAAGTTTTGATAATCAATATACATATATACATAATGCACAAGTTAGTTAGTCCCACATTGATTAGAAAGTAAAACATTC